ACTTGGATTTTTAATTTAAATATCATGTTTATTTCATATCTAATAAATATGTCTTTACATGGCATAACTATACTTAAATAAAATTAATTAGTTGCACCAAGTAATTCTCATAGCCACAATCTAATAAAAATTTTGCACAAATAAAAGTATGTTGTATTCAAATAAATGGTACTCTAATGTACTAATTTATTTGAATATAATAAATCTTTCTCTGGGTGTAATAAGCGCGACAAAGACAGAACGATATTCGCAAAGTCATGACATGCAACGGTCTCACACACACATACACACGCGCACGCGCGCTAATTAATACACGAAAATCGCATGAAGATCGATTCGGGAATGTTTTACGCGACTTCGACAACTCTTTTCGAGCATTTACTCTTTTACAGTACGTATGGAGAACGTCTTCCCCGTGATTTACCGCGCACATGGTCGATATACGAGAACCGGTCGCTACGTGTTTCGCGACACCCCGAATCCCGGACGAATTCCTTATCCTTATATAACTATGGCCGACGTTACAATCGTCTTGGATGCCTCTTCTCCGATCGCTTGTCTCCGGTCGCTCGAAATGTACGAAAATCAAAAGTTTGGTACAAAGCCTAAACGACAACGAGACACAAAAATGGCGACGGCGACAGAGCCTGGTCTACGGACGGAGTTGCGTACGTAGCTCACAATTTAGCGATGGGCAACTTCACCGATACTCGCTCCTGTAGCCAGGAGATGCTCGGTCTCGTCCTCTCGCCCTGATCTCGGCGGCGACACACAATATGACAACGACAAACGAAAACTGGACTGCAAAGATAACTGTACACTATAAGCGCCCGCACCAGAATGTCTCCCTTCTCGCGATCCAGGGTCGATAACAGCGTCAATCCTACGCGCAGGAGTACGCGGATTCGTGGCCAATAGTGCCGCTATACGCGAGATATTACTGCACTCTGCGACAATGCCGTATCGCGGACCATAACGACCCCGATAATTCAAAAATCTTAATTTCGGCGACTTATCTATCGGTGGTCTTCTCACGCCGATCGTTCGTCCTCCGTCCTCGGAGGGTAGCGCAGACCAGGCCCTGCTATCCCGGTCCAAGATAGCGGTTTCTTTTTAAGATTTTCATCCTCTTGCTGCTGGGGGCGAATTCCACCCGCGACTCTGCGCTGTCCTGTTCTTCGGGCGCTATCTCCCTTCTCGAATCGAAGGCTGGAAGCGTTCATGTTCTTTCAATCTCCGTCCCTCCTTGTCATTTTCCGGACGTTCGTTTCTCAACGTGCGAGCACGTGAATCCTACCCCCGGATTTTCCAGGGACGGCTACGCTCAGGGCTCGTAGGACGTAACTGCTCGAGCTGTTGATTGGAGTGAGGGGTCGCATGGGGGTTGGAAGGGACGCGAGATAGGGGTGGCGAAAGGAGACACCGCGACGGCGGCGGGAGGCAGCGGCGGGAGCGCAGGACACCATGATGAACATGATTGCCCTTTCCGGCTGGCAAACACTGGGACTATTGGATTTTTATCAGCTGCTGTTGCTGCTGCTACTGCTGCTGTTGTTGCTGCCGATCGTCGCGCGTGGCGATTTTCCACAAAATTCAAGTCGTAACTATGCGAACAACACGAGCCTGCATTCGCGCGTTAATTAATCTGAAATTTATTACACCTAGCGTTACGTTTTTTTATCGATCTATCGTTAAATAAAAAAAAAGGCGAAATGCAAAATCAAATCGAAAAGAAAAGAAGGGATATCAATTTAACTTTGACGCAAAGTTGTAATCACATTTAAATAAAACTTTAAATTTATAAATAGCGCATAACTTCTATGATTTTTCGATTAATATACGGTTAAGCTTCATTCTATCAAAAGTTTGATTTTTCGCAAAGTTTTAGATAATTATATTGTATTGTAAACATTTTATTTCAAAGTGCGATTTTTTTACATATAGCTTGAACCTTCTTCTTTAAAACAAGTCAAAGTAAAAGTCAATAGGATAATTCGTTTAAAAGTTATGATTTTTTTCGTAGGTGGGACATATATGTCCCGGAAGTATGAAAGGGTTAAGCAAGTTCCTCGTAATCATGAAACGGGAGTATCTTATTTAGACTTAAATAAACTTCGTAATTTTGTCAGGGTCCATAAAGACATAATGCCAAAAGATTGGTGTAACAATGTAGTGTATAAAGTCTCGTGCAATGATTGCGATACATCATATGTCAGCCAAATTAGTAGACAATTTAAAAAACGAATTTCTGAACACCGAAATCATATCCGACAAATTATGTAACAACTTTCAGTTATAACCAATCATAGACTGGAGTTCGGTCATGATTTTAGTTGGGAAGAATCTGAGATTTTGGACAGAGAGTTTTCATTGGACAAAAGACTTGTCTGAAATGCTGTTTATTAAATGCCAAAAAATAACTTGAACTTGCAGAGTGATAAAGAGGGCTTGCATCATGCATTTGCGACGATAATCTATAATTTATCGAAAATATCAGACGTTCGTATGTTTGTTACCGTCAACTGCGCATATCCTCGGTGGAGTCTATGTTTACGTTCTGACAATCGAGGACATATTTATACAGTTCATCATCGAATCTCGAACCGACATGAGACATACAACGAAATATTGTTATTAATTGTAAAAAGCGCGGAATCTGGTGAGCCATGCTTCTAACTATTAATTTAAACAAAAAACTTATTCACGTGTAATATCTCTCGGTATTTATTTTATTATTTTTACTCGATTTGTTAGATCTGCTGCGATTTTGCACAGCACAATTATAGTATATTTGACTTATATATAGTATATTTGATTTGATGCAATTTAGCGTCACCTACGCGTCGAGAAACAAATTTGTACAATGTAATGCGTCATAATATCGGGCTGAGGAAGGATCAAAAGATGATCCGAAACATTCGCTTTTTGTTGTTGTAATATGCATTTTTAATAAACTAATATTGAAAAAAGAAAAAAGTTGTTACTTCTCTGCGCTTCAACTACCACGCGATGTCATTTTCTTTTTAATTTTTTGATTATTTGAGCCAAATCTCTAATTATTAACTCAAATTCCTAACTATTAATTTTAAAAAAATTCTCTTTTCAAATTTAATTCTTTATTTTATATAAATAAATAAGATAAAATAGATAAAAATTTGAAATATATATATCAAAATATATCAAATAGTCTGATTAGCAAGATTGTTTTGAGATAAATAAATGTTTTGAGATAATCCGATAAAAATACTTAATAAAAAAAATTAATTTTTCAAAATAAAACAAAATATGTCTCAATTATTTTCATATTTTTTGTTTTAAATTTTCAGCTGTTGAGTAAATGTGCATAAAATGTCAAACTTCGCCGATTTTGCCACTGAAATATGTTGTAGAGGAAATTTTTCTGAGTAATTCTACGCAAGAAATAAATGGAGAATAATATTGGTTTAGAAGATACAAATTGAAGTTTCACAATTTTAATGCTTTATGCATATTTGCTAAAATTGGTAATAAGTAAGAGATGGCATTAGTTTAGAAGCTACAACAAATTAAAGTTTTTATATATTTTGCAAAAGATGCTTATATAAATATCAGAAACGTATGTGTATGCACACACACACACACACACACACACACACACGCGCGCGCGCGGGAGGATGGAAGGAGGCTTTCCCTTCTCGCATTTTTCCGGGCGCTAGGGGACGCATTGCGAAGAGTTCAATCACAATGTATACAGGGTGTCTGCTAAACATGCGGCAAAAATTCAGGGGGTGATTTATTGGGTTATTTTAAGACTTTTTTGTTATTTGATGATTTTCGAAAAAATGCTTTGTTTCGAAAATAAAAGCAATAAAAGTTTTTTGACCAATTTTTTATTCCAGAGATAACAGGCGATACAGGTTTTTTAACAAAATTATTGAAAATTACAAGAAAAAAAAAAAAAAGAAATTGGTCAAAAAACTTTTATTGCTTTTATTTTCGAAACAAAGCATTTTTTCGAAAAATTGGTCAAAAAACTTTTGTTGCTTTTATTTTCGAAACAAAGCATTTTTTCGAAAATCATCAGATAACAAAAAAGTTTTAAAATAACCCAATAAATCACCCCCTGAATTTTTGCCGCATGTTTAGCAGACACCCTGTATATGCTATAAGTTGTAAAGCGAGGTCCACCTTGCCTACCGGCGGGGTGATTGCGGGAGGGGGAGGCCGAAGGTTTTTGAAGGGGGTTGAAGTTATTTTAAGAAAAAATATGTAATTGTTAATTGGAAATTACATATTTTTCCTTTGAAACAATTATGTGTTTTCTTTACACCAGTTGATTCCTCTCATTACATTACATAAAAGTATTGAGATAAGATAATCAAAAAATGAATATTTTACAAGATATTTTACGGTTTATGTAAAATTAAGCCTTATAACTCAAAAAATACTTAAAGGAAAAATATTTTATTATAGTGTTTTGGAAAGCTCTTGAAATAAGCTATAAGAATATACAATAAAATATAGAGAGTTCCGTTTAAAAAAATTAAATTGATCTTGAAATCTCCTTAATGTCTCTATCTATAAAAATATCGTTTATACCATACGATGTCCCCCTCTGTGTCAAACATTTTTTGGTATAAAAATTTTTTCATAGCTCTTTAACTTTAGCTAATATTCACATCGTTCACTCTATGAATCATCCTGTATATTTCTTCAATATTTTAGACCTTCTCTTATGCCATTCATATCATTTAGTAATAAATCAGAGAATGTTATATATCTTACAGAAAAATTTCTCTAACTGCAAAGATAGGAAAGAAGTTTTGCTTCGCTGTGGATAAGTGTAATCAGATTTTCGACTTCTGATATTATCCATTTATCGATAATACATATTGAATTGATTCGAGCTAATGAAATATTTTCACTGTTACATAGTTAGATTGAAATATTTCGCCATGCGACTCGCAAACAATATATATGTCCTACGAGAAAAATGTATTAATCGTACATGAATTTTGCAGTTGCTGATCTACGTTTGTACTCGAAAAAGATGCAAATACAGAGGAAGAAGACACTCATGGGTAAGATGGGACACAACCATGACATTACTTTCACGCCTCACGACTTCAATTACGACAATCATCATTACCAGTATCTCAAGTATACTAAACGCGGCAAAGTAAGTCGTTACTTTTTTACGCCCTATTTTAGTTGTAATCAATATCAGTATATGTAATGTTATAGTGTCCCATTTTAAAAGTTCCATCCTCATAACTTTTTTAATTTTGATTGTAGAAAAAAATGTTTCAGACAAAAGTTGTATGGCTTGAAGGGGGACATAAGATGATGTCATTAGTTTGATATTGAAGAGTCACCTGAAGGTCACATCCAACTTTTTAGACGGGACACCCTATATACTTTTACATATTCTTATAGTTCATCTCGAGAGCTTTCCAAAACACTGTAATTAAGTTAATTTTCATTAAGTACTTTCCGAGTTATGAGGCTTGAAATCATTTCCTATTTTTACATAAACCGTAAAATATCTAGTAAAATATTCATTTTTCGATTATCCTACTTTAATACTTTTATACAAAATAATGAGAGGAATCCATTGGTGTAAAGAAAACATACAGTTGTTTTTAAGAAAAAATATGGAATTATTAATTGCAAATTACATATTTTTTTTTTAACAATTATGTTTTTTCTTTACACCAATTGATTTCTTTCATTATTTTGTGCACAAAAGTATTAAGGTAAGATAATCGAAAAATGAATATTTTACTAGATATTTTATGGTTTATGTAAAATTAAGAAATGATTTCAAGCCTTATAACTCGGAAAATACTTAATGAAAACTAACTTAATTATAATGTTTTGGAAAGCTCTCGAGATAAACTATAAGAATATGCAAAAGCATATAGGGTATCCCCATTTAAAAAGTTGAATGTTGGACCTTCATGTGATCTTCAGGTGGCTCTTCAATATCAAACTAATGACATCATCTTATGTCTCCCTTCAAGTCATACAACTTTTGTCTGAAACATTTTTTTCTACAATCAAAATTAAAAAAGTTATGAGGGTGGAGCTTTTAAAATCGGACACTCTGGATAATGTTATATACAGGGTGTTCAAAAAGTCCCGACACGGGGGAATAACTCGAAAAGTAAGGATCGGACAAAGAAACTTTTCGGACAAAAGTTGTAGGGCTTATTCCGAGCTTTTATCTCGTGGCCTTGAATTTGACCTTGGATAGTCATTTAAAGGTCACATAAAGATTACCTTCAATTTCTTAAATGGAACCCCCTATTTTTCATTGCATATTCTTGAAGCTTATCTCGAGAGCCTTCCAAAACACTATAATTAAGTACCTTTTTATTAAGTACTTTTTGAGTTATAAGGCTTAAAATAATTTCTTAATTTTATATAAACCATAAAATATCTAGTAAACCATTCATTTTTCGATTATCTTACCTTCATACTTTTATGTACAAAATAATGAGAGGAATCAATTGGTGTAAAGAAAACATACAGTTGTTTTTAAGAAAAAATATGGAATTGTTAATTGCAAATTACATATTTTTTCTTAAAAACAACTATGTGTTTTCTTTACACCAATTGATTCCTCTCATTATTTTGTACATAAAAGTATGAAGGTAAGATAATCGAAAAATGAATGGTTTACTAGATATTTTATGGTTTATATAAAATTAAGAAATTATTTTAAGCCTTATAACTCAAAAAGTACTTAATAAAAAGGTACTTAATTATAGTGTTTTGGAAGGCTCTCGAGATAAGCTTCAAGAATATGCAATGAAAAATAGGGGGTTCCATTTAAGAAATTGAAGGTAATCTTTATGTGACCTTCAAATGACTATCCAAGGTCAAATTCAAGGTCACGAGATAAAAGCTCGGAGTAAGCCCTACAACTTTTGTCCGAAAAGTTTCTTTGTCCGACCCTTACTTTTCGAGTTATTCTCCCGTACCGGGACTTTTTGAACACCCTGTAATGTTATATAGGACAGTATAATGTTATATATAGAATCCTTACATTTCAATTTAAATTTTTGAAAATATTTTTACTTATGTTCTCCTACCATATTTATTTTATTATAATGTATAATTATAGCATTAATATGTTGCAACGTATCATGTACATAGATATAAGTGCTGTATGTATCTGTGATTATCATGTTCTTTAATATAGGTGATTCATTGTAATCTTAACAGGCAAATGTTTTGAAAAATATGTGAGATACGAAAAAATGTTTCAGACAAAAGTTATATGGTTTTAAAGGAGACATAAGACCTTCAACAGTTACTTGAAAGTTACGTGAAGGTCATCCTCAATTTTTTAAATCGAACCGCCTATTTTTTATTACATATTCTTGTAGTTTATTTCGAGAGTTTTCCTTCCAAAACGCTATAATTAAGTTAGTTTTCATTAAATATTTTCTGAGTTATAAGGCTTGAAATCATTTTTTAATTTTATATAAACCGTAAAATATCTAGTAAAATATTCATTTTTCTTTTACCCTATCTTAATACTTTTATGTATAAAATAAGGAGAGGAATCAATTGGTGTAAAGAAAACACATAATTGTTTTGAAAAAAAAAATGTAATTTGCAATTAACAATTCCATATTTTTTCTTCGGAACAATTATGTGTTTTCTTTACACCAATTGATTCCTCTTATTATTTTGTACATAAAAGTATTAAGGTGAGGTAATCAAAAAATGAATATTTCACAAGATATTTTACGGTCTATGTAAAATTAAGAAACGATTTTAAGCCTCCTATCTCGGAAAGTACTTAATAAAAACTAACTTAATTATAGTGTTTTGGAAAGTTCTCGAAATAAGCTACAAGAATATGTAATAAAAAATAGGTGGTTCCATTTAAAAAATTGAGTGTAACTTTTACGTGACCTTCAAGTAACTATTTAAGGTCAAATTAATGACACCATCTTATGTCTACTTTAAAACAATATAACTTTTATCTGAAACATTTTTCGTATCTCGCATATTTTTCAAAATATTTGCCTATTAAGATTAAAATGAATCACCCTGCATAATCGGGATTGGTATATGATAAGCACATAATTATTAGGATAATTGTTTGAAGATACTCATATACTATATATACTATATATTTATTATGAATTGGTAAATTATTCGGCTCTATATATTTAAACAACATGATAATTTTAATAACGAGCAATAAGAGCCCACAACCGCGGATGGCAATGCGTGAATTATTTCGAACATTAATTGTTCACGAAAATTTTAAGGCATATGCACATATGCCAAGTTATAGATTCTCTTGGTTTGAGACTTCCCCCCTGGAGAGATGTAGACAGGAAATAATGTTCGAAATAATTCACGCATTGCCATCCGCGGTTGTGGGCTCTTATTGCTCGTTATTAAAATTATCATGTTGTTTAAATATATAGAGCCGAATAATTTACCAATTCATTTAGAACTACACGTGAGCTAATTATCGTGTTCTCATTTTTCACCGATTAATAAAAACGTACAGGAGAAATGTCGGTGTGGGGCTGAATAGCTCAGTGGTAAGAGCAGTCGCCCGGCAAGCGAAAGACTCGGGTTCGATTCCCGATTCAGCGACTTCGCCCCGATATTTTTCCTGTCTACATCTCTCCAGGTAAAGGGGTTTATAGAAGTTCAAACCAAGAATTATACTTGCATATGTGCTATCTTAATTTTGTGAACATTATGTTCGAATAATTCCATTGCATCCGTTGTCTTTATTTCTTTTTTATCATGTTGTTTAAATATATAGCCGATATTTACCAATTCATTTGAACTACACGTGAGCTAATTATCGTTTCTCATATTTCCACCGTTAATAAAACGTACAGGAGAATGTCGGTGTGGGCTGAATAGCTCAGTGTAGAGCAGTCGCCCGGCAAGCGAAGACTCGGGTTCGATTCCCGATTCAGCGACTTCGCCCGATATTTTTCCTGTCTACATCTCTCAGGGGGTAAAGGGGTGTTATAGAAGTCTCAAACAAGAGAATCTATAACTTGGCATATGTGCATATGCCTTAAAATTTTCGTGAACAATTAATGTTCGAAATAATTCACGCATTGCCATCCGCGGTTGTGGGCTCTTATTGCTCGTTATTAAAATTATCATGTTGTTTAAATATATAAGCCGAATAATTTACCAATTCATTTAGAACTACACGTGGAGCTAATTATCGTGTTCTCATTATTTCCACCGATTAATAAAACGTACAGGAGAAATGTCGGTGTGGGGCTGAATAGCTCAGTGGTAAGAGCAGTCGCCCGGCAAGCGAAAGACTCGGGTTCGATTCCCGATTCAGCGACTTCGCCCCGATATTTTTCCTGTCTACATCTCTCCAGGGGGGTAAAAGGGGGTGTTATAGAAGTCTCAAACCAAGAGAATCTATAACTTGGCATATGTGCATATGCCTTAAATTTTCGTGAACAATTAATGTTCGAAATAATTCACGCATTGCCATCCGCGGTTGTGGGCTCTTATTGCTCGTTATTAAAATTATCATGTTGTTTAAATATATAGAGCCGAATAATTTACCAATTCATTTAGAACTACACGTGGAGCTAATTATCGTGTTCTCATTATTTCCACCGATTAATAAAAACGTACAGGAGAAATGTCGGTGTGGGGCTGAATAGCTCAGTGGTAAGAGCAGTCGCCCGGCAAGCGAAAGACTCGGGTTCGATTCCCGATTCAGCGACTTCGCCCCGATATTTTTCCTGTCTACATCTCTCCAGGGGGGTAAAAGGGGGTGTTATAGAAGTCTCAAACCAAGAGAATCTATAACTTGGCATATGTGCATATGCCTTAAAATTTTCGTGAACAATTAATGTTCGAAATAATTCACGCATTGCCATCCGCGGTTGTGGGCTCTTATTGCTCGTTATTAAAATTATCATGTTGTTTAAATATATAGAGCCGAATAATTTACCAATTCATTTAGAACTACACGTGGAGCTAATTATCGTGTTCTCATATTTCCACCGATTAATAAAAACGTACAGGAGAAATGTCGGTGTGGGGCTGAATAGCTCAGTGGTAAGAGCAGTCGCCCGGCAAGCGAAAGACTCGGGTTCGATTCCCGATTCAGCGACTTCGCCCCGATATTTTTCCTGTCTACATCTCTCCAGGGGG